GTGCTAAGCTAACGGAATGGGTCAAGTCAATCACATCATTCTCTTAATGATGTGATCCCGTTATTCAAATGACAACTCATGTCTATGGCTAGGAAACTCAACCATCTTTGATTAACGAGCTAGTCAAGTAGAGGCATACTAGTGACACTATGTTTGTCTATATATTCACACATGTATTATGTTTCCGGTTAATACAATTCTAGCATGAATGATAAACATTGATCATGAAATAAGGAAATAAATAATAACTTTATTATTGCCTCTAGGGCATATTTCCTTCAGGCAGCACTGTATTCGTGGTTTGCATCACCATTTGCGTGGGTGGGTGGCCAATGTAGGGAGTGATCTCAAGGCCCGTAAAGAGGCGCTAATGTCCAAAATAAGGGACCTCGATGATCGGGTGGACCTTGGTGGAATCTCCTCCGTAGAATGGTCTCGGAGATATTCGGCGGAGGACGAGATGATTTTCGTGCTTACGTGTGAGGAGTTATATTGGAAGCAACGTGGCCAACAGAGGTGGGTTTTGAATGGGGATGCGAGTACCGATTTTTTTCATTCGGTGGCTAACGGGAGACGCCGCAGATGTTGCATTAGGATCCTAAGAGAAGGGGAGGTGGTAATCTCCGAGGAAGGGGCGCTCCGAGACCATATATATGGGTTTTATCGGGAGCTCCTTGGATCCAAACCAGGAGGGAGCGCTTCTCTGGGACCTAACTTATGGAATATAGACGATAGAGTATCCGCTGTGCATAATGAGGCGCTTATCCGGCCATTCTCTCTTGAAGAGGTGTCAAGATGCTTGAAGGAGATGCGTAATAATACTGCTCTGGGACCGGATGGGTTTCCTGTGACTTTCTATAAGAAGTTTTGAGGATTAATTAGGCCCCAATTTTTCGAACTGATCAACAACTTCATAAGGGGGGAGATCGATATCAAGCGTCTAAATTATGGGGTGTTGGCACTTCTTCCGGAAGTTAAAGGGGCCAAGAACATCCGGCAATTTCGCCCGATCACACTCATCAACGTCAGCTTCCGCCTCTGTGCTAAGGGTTCTGCATGTTGTTTGGCTCCGGTTGCACATAAGGTGATTGATCAGGTAAAGTCCGCGTTCATCCGAGGGAGGGGTATTCTGGACGGTGTGGCGGTTCTCCATGAAGTGTTGCATGAAATTAGGGTGTCTAAAGAAGAAGTGTTCATCCTTAAAATTGACTCCGAAAAGGCTTACAACAGGGTACGGTGGGACTTTTCAGAGGAGGTCCTTCACAAGAAGGGCTTTCACCCTCTTTGGTTTAGTTGGATGCGGTAGTTGGTGAGGGGCGGTCAAACGGCGGTGAACATCAATGGTGTAATTGACCCGTTCTTTAGGAACAAGAGGGGTGTCCGTCAAGGGGACCCGGCGTCCCCACTCCTTTTTAACTTTATTGCGGACGCTTTCGCACGTATGCTGGGCCGGGCCAAGGAGGCGGATCATATCTTGAGGGTGGCCGCTAGGGTGGTGCCTGGTGGCATTATTCACCTTCAATACACGGACGATACGTTAATTTTCATTAAGAATTGCGAGAGGGATATTTTGAATCTCAAGTTTTTTCTAATGTGCTTTGAGGCGATGTCGGGACTTAAGATTAACTTTGACAAAAATGAGGCATTTGTGACTGGTGGGGATTTGGAGTCGCAACTGCGCGTGGCTCGTATGATGAATTGCCAGCTCGGATCTATCTCGATGAAGTACTTGGGGATGCCAATCTCGGCCCGAGCCCTTTCGATGGTGGATTTGGATCCTATGGTTGATAAGGCGGCAAAGAGGGTAGAACCGTGGCAGGGGCGGCTCCTAGCATCGGGTGGGAGACTGTTGCTCATTAATGATTGTCTTACCAATATCCCCATGTTCATCATGGTCTTCTACCTGCTTAGAGATGGTGTCCACGCCAAGCTGGACAAAGTACGATCTAGATTTTTTTGGTCAAAGGAGAACGGGAAGCAACGATACCATATGCTGAAATGGGAGCACATGCGCCAAAGGAGAATGGGGGTCTCGGAGTTATCAACTCCAAAGTCATGAATTGGTGTCTTATGACCAAATAGGCTTGGAAGATTTTAACCAATCAAGGGGGTTTATGGTTATCGATTTTTAGAGAGAAACACCTTTCGGGCCGAGGGGTGGAATTTAAGCCTAATATCCCCATGTCTCAATTTGTGCGAGACGTGATGAAGGTGCGCCGTCTCCTCCGTCTGGGGTCTAAGTTCAGTATTCGAAATGGGAGATCGGTGTCCTTTTGGTTTGATACCTGGTGCGGGGATAGGCCACTCGGGGAGTCCTTCCCACTTCTCTTCCAAATAGCTGAGAGGCAAACGGCACAAGTCGTTGATCTATGGGCAAATGGCCGATGGGAGCCGAGGTTTCGGAGGTCTCTTGGGCCGGCCGAGACGGAGAAGTGGGCCAGATTCAGTGCCCTAATCCAAAACTATCAAATTTCTGAGGGGCGTGATGAGGTGAAATGGAAACTTGAGGCTTCGGGGTGTTTCTCAACGTGTTCCCTTTATAAAGAAATCTTCAAAACTAATATTTGTTATTTAAGTGGGATTTGGAAGGCGTGTATGCCGGCTAAGATTAAAATTTTCCTTTGGCAAGTGGCCAGGAACCGCATTACTAGTGGTGACCAAGTGCAAAAACGACACGGACCAGGTGATGGCCTATGCATCTGGTGCGGTCATCCCGAAAATAGGGATCATATTTTATTTCGATGTATCATGGCTCGCTTTGTTTGGAGTTCGATTAGAGAGGTGGTTAGGTGTTCCTGGAACCCGAGCGGATTCAATGACTTATATAGATTGATCCGAGACTGCGTGGGTTGTGCCGTCTGCGTGGCATGCTATGCCCGGCGTTGTGTCGTCGTTAGTGGCATGTTGGCTTGTATCCGTACTTCGGCCTATGTGCCATTCTTTGTTTGTGTGTTGTACTTCATACTTTCTTAGCGTCTTATTATCAAGGCCGGGCAGATGCCTTCGCTCTAAAAAATATATATCAGTGGATTCTTAAAGATGAAGAATAAAGTACCCAGCTCTATCCGAGTGGTTCATACTGGTGTAAAGACAAATGAAGGTACTCCCATTTCTTCAACACCCAAATTTACAAGCGTAGATCAAAAAGAGCAATGTTATTTTTACGTAACACATCTACAAAAATCTTACGCACCAGTACGATCGAAATATCGAGTGACGATTATTGCCATGTTTAGCTCCAGGGTGGTTACTATCCCTCTTTGAGTACGTAAAAGTGTCCTGGCAGGACGAGCAGGTGGGAACTGATGCTAGGGAGAGGAGTAGAGTTCTGGGGTGGCAGACGAGCAGGGAGAGAGGAATGGCGGAGGTGCAAAATGGAAAAAGAAAGACCAGAGTTGCTCATTTCACCTGACGGTTCAGATGTACATCAGGATGACTCGCATGTTAGCCATGAGACCTTACATGGAAACCGAAGCATGATCCTGCACTTAATAGGATTGCATAGTGAGACAGTGCAGTGCTAGCTCACCGGGGAAACCCCAAAGGCCACCTTCAAAACAAAAACAAAAAAGAAAGAGACCAAGGTTCAGACTTGCTCAATGTCACCTGATGATTCAGGTGTGCATGTGGCGACCCAAGTGGCCATTGAGCGTTTCATCACAACGATGGTCTTTCCAAGTGTTGGGTGAGGGTGGTTCGAACTCACGACCTCAGCTATGAGACCTCCCTTCGTTTCAAAATAAATGACTCAAATTTATGTTAACTTTATATTAGCTTGCCAACAGCGCCACCGACGCCTTCTTATCCAAGAAGCGAAACAAACGTCCTTGTTAGTGACAGGGCCAATATAATGATGTGATAACACAACTTAAAGTAGTTATTACAACCCTTTGCCCGTGACAACTCACAACTAGATAATAGATTAATACAGCTACTAACGAGTGAATTGCAAAAAACCACCACATTACAGCGTAAGGTTGCAAAAAGACTCTTCTATGAATTTGAGCCGAAAACCATTGATTCTTGGCCTAATATTTTGCAGAAAACACTGATAGGTCTCTTTGGGCATTTTAACCACGATTATGACATGTGGGTCCCGCGAAAGCTGATGTGGCATAATTGTTGGTCATTGGTATTTTTGCATAGGGACCCTTGGGGGAAAAATCCAAAATGCAATCAGCTCCTGTGTCATGCGCGCGGCTGCTGCTTTGCTCCGCTACTACTGCTTGCGTCTCCGTCGCTGCTGCTTGTACACCGCCGCGCCGCTGCTGGTGCTTCCACGGCGCCGCGCCCCTGCCGCTTGCTCCGCTGCTGCTGATTCCGCGGCACCGCACCCCTGCTGCTTCCTTGGCGCCGCGTCCCTGCTGCTTGCTCTGCTGCTACTGCTGTTTGCGCGCCGCCTCGTCGCTGTTGCTGCTGCTTGCGCGCCGCCGCGCCGGTGCTGCTTGCTCCGCTGCCTACTCTGGTGCTCCGCGCCGTTGCTCGCGCCCCTGCTGCACGCCGCCGCCGCTGCTTGCTCTGGTACAGACCCTGGATCCCGACAACCATGACGGCGAGGAATGGGACGCACATGTCATAATTGTCATTCAAATGGTCTAAATCATCAATCAGTGTTTCTGCAAAAGATTAAACAAAAAATCAGTGGTTTTCGGCCCAAATTCGTAGAAGAGTCTTTTCTGTAACCCTACACTGTAACGTGGTCGTTTTTTTTGCAATTCACTCGCTACTAGCTAAACTTGCTTCGTGCATAGTGGCAACTAGATCCGCATTACAAAGTCACACCCGGTACGACTGCAACTAGTATGTAAAACCACCACATTACATACTCATCATAGTATTCCTATACAATACAACTAGTACATTGTCATCATAGTATTCCTATACCCATAATTAGTATAGCTCAACATTCCATACTCATCCATGCTTCATAGGTCGATGGTGAATCACGCAAAGCTTTCATGCATGAGGCTGGCAGGCAGAGGAAGAAGATGGCAGTGTGATCAGATCGTGATGCCACCGGCGTTGGACTGGTCGTCATCGTCGTCGTCGTCGAGGATGGAGTAGACGATGGAGGACAAGGCGAGGCCCGAGGCAACCACCAGGATCCACCCCAGCAGGTCGTTGTTCATCCCGGCACCCTCCGTTGGCATGATCCGCTCATCGACCAGTGCCAGCACCAGCAGCGGGGCCAGCATTGGGCCCGCCGCCGCCATCAGGGCACTCGCCTCAGCGAGCAGAGGTGCGCCCTTGACTACCACCAGAGCCAGAGCCGAAGACGCCTTTCTCACGAGGTCCTTGGAGTAGCTGCACCTGCACCTCAGCCTCGCGGCCTTGGCCACTCTCAGCCGAGGCAGCCCTGGATGCATCGTCTCCTTGTTAGTTAGTATAGCACGTACTCCATCTGTTCTAAAGTAAGTGTCGCAGTCTTAGTTTAAATTTGAAAAGAACTAAAACCACGATACTTATTTTGGAACCGAGGGAGTGGAAACTTGACATGTTGCAATGATGTTGGAGTTGCCCAAAGAAGACACACACAAGTGCAAGAACACACAGACAACTCTTTTGGGGAGCACGCACATACTTGGCTTTTCTCTTGTTCTTGACTTTTCAAACCATGCAGGAGCAGTGCATGTGTTACTCTCTATTAAGAAAGAAAGGATCAAAAACAGCTGATAATTACAAGTCCGTTGATGGTGGCACGCACGTACTACTGCTGCCTGATACGCTATTTGCTCTCCACTAGCCGGTAGCAAGGTGACGATCGAGTAACAACGACCTTTGACACGGCCACACGATTCAGCCGGCGCAACGGCATGCTGCTACCAGCTGCTAGTAGACAACAAGCAAGCTAGGTTAAGTCTTAACACATGACACGAGACGCGACATTTTGCACGGATGATGAGCTTGCTTACCTAGAGCCTGCGACGGTCCGGCGGCGGCGGCGGCGACGAAGACGGTGGGGGCGCCGATCGCTGCCATTGCTGATAGAATCAGTGCTCTCTCCAGGCAGACGGAGACACTCCAGTATATATAGGCAGATGGGGGTGGTACTGGAGTAGTTGCCACGCACCGAGCTAGCCTTGACATCACAGATTCCTGTTGGAAAATTCGCCGGGGTTTGGCGGGCACGAACGCACGCACGGTTAAACCTGATCGGTCGGAATCTGGATCACAACCGACTTGATTCCCGGAGGAAGCAACTGTGCAGAGGCAAGATATATGGATGAACGAAAATGGGCATTTCAGATGGAAAAACATTACACGCGTTCCGCTAGACATCTCTAAGCAAGTGAACCAACAGCACAAGTTGGCCCGATCGAAGAGGTGTTAACACCGAACGACACGTCGACACCGGCCTTCCGTGCTCGAGGGAATAACTCGGGCAGGTTATACATGGCAAATGGGCTTCAAGTTTTTCCCTTGCACACTACGGCAGTTTGGCTGCCCGTGTCATCTCTCTGGCGTGGCGCACAAGAGTTTCTTTCTTCTTTTTTACTCTTGGAGCTGGATTCAGGTGTCATTCTTTTTACTGTCCATGTTCAGAAAGCTTCGGAGTTTTTTTTTCCCTTTCTTCACATCAGTGCTTGGGGCCCGGACAAGCAGAGGAGCAGCACGGAGGGGGCATACAAGCAGAAGGCGCAGGAGTTAGGGCAGAGACATGGCTGCACCGTGGAGGAGAGATTATTAGGCTGAAGCAAATTAAAGAAAGAAAGAGACCAGGTTCAGAGTTGCTCAGTTTCATCAGATGATTCAGGTGTACCTGTGGCGACCCAAGTTGCCACTCAGCGTTTCATCACTACGACGGTCTTCCCTATAAGGTGGGGTGAGCTCGACCTCAGGATCACTCGCATGTTTTTGTCGACGTGGCGGCACTGTTCCTCCGACCAAGCCGTTAGACTGCGTTAGACACCGTTCCCCGCACCGGTTCGAGCCGCTCGGGTCAAACACCTCCGAATCGGTGCAGGCCCACCCCCAGCCCTCATTCTCTTTCGGCCTTCTCCCTCTCTCTGCTCCTGCTCGTTTGCCGCCGCCGCCCCCTCCCACATCTCCGACCGCCTTCGCCGCCGCGTCGCCATGGTTTTTTTTAGAAAAGGGGGGACTCCCCGGCCTCTGCATCAGAACGATGCATACGGCCACATTTATAAATAAAATAGGTTCAACAAGGTCTCAAAGTCTGGAAAAGTAAATAAAGGCGAGTTCACATAGAGCCTCAACGCGAAAGACAAAAAGGCCACAGAGCCACAACCGGCTGGCAAAACAAAGATAGAAAAACTAATCGCCTATCCTATTACATGACCGCCATCCAAACCGGTTGAAGATATCCCGCGCTACCATCTCCCACCGGACAGATCCAGTAACCAAACGCTCCCTGGCCTCCGTCGGAGTGAGTAAGGACCACAAACGGATCAGCGCCATAGCTTGGAATAAAACCTGCAAAAAATGAATAGTTGTTGTTCTGTTAAAAGCCAAATCATTCCTGCAGTTCCAAATTGCCCATAACAACGCACATACTCCTACACGAATGTGTCTAGCTGTATCGGACTCTATCCCAGCCAGCCACATTCCAAATAACGTACCGACCGAATTTGGAGGAGTAATGTTAAAGGCAATTTGCACAGTGCGCCACAAAACTCTCGCCAACGGGCACTCAAAGAAGAGGTGCTTAATGGTCTCGTCCCGATCACAGAAACTACACCTAGTAGAGCCTGTCCAATTGCGCTTAACCAAGTTGTCCTTTGTTAGAATGACTTGTTTATGTACAAACCACATAAACACTTTGATCTTCAAAGGAACTCTAACTTTCCAAACATGTTTGGAACTAGGAATGACACTAGAGTTAATGACATCGATATACATCGACTTAACCGTAAACGCTCCAGACCTAGTAAGTTTCCAACACAACTGATCGGGCTGATGAGCTAACTGAACCTCCATCAGTCTAGTCACCAAATAAAGCCATGCTTCCCACCTATCACCAACAAGCACCCTCTAAAACTGGATATTAAGGGGAATGGAGTGCAAAATCGTTGCAACTAGCGCATCACGTCGTTGAACAATACGATACAGGGACGGGTACTGGAGCGCCAATGGCGTATCACCAAGCCAAGTGTCCTCCCAGAAACGGGTATTGTTGCCATTACCGACAATAAACTTTGTTCTATTAAAGAAGGCTGCCTTAACTCTCATAAGCCCGTTCCAAAACGGCGAGTCAGTTGGTCTCACTGTCACCTGCGACAAAGTCTTGGACTGCAGATACTTGTTACGAAGAATATGTGCCCACGTTGCGTCAGTCTCAACAGATAACTTATACAACCACTTACTGAGAAGGCATCTGTTCTTGACCTCTAGATTCTCAATACCCAGACCCCCTTGGTCCTTTGGTCGACAGATGACATCCCATTTGGCGATTCGGTACTTTCTCTTTAGATCATCACTCTGCCAAAAGAATCATGATCGGTAAAAGTCCAGCCTTTTCCTAACCCCAACTGGAACTTGGAAGAAAGATAGTAGGAACATAGGCTTACTCGTGAGCACCGAATTGATAAGAATCAACCGGCCTCCATAAGACATGAGTTTGCCCTTCCAGCAACTAAGTCTTTTCTCAAACCGATCTTCGATGCATTTCCACTCTCTGTTTGTTAGCTTACGGTGGTGAATGGGTATACCTAGGTATGTAAAAGGTAAAGCCCCTAATTCACATCCAAACAAATGCCTATAAGCCTCTTGTTCCTCCTTGGCTCTACCAAAGCAGAACAACTCGCTTTTGCGAAAGTTAATCTTTAATCCGGTCAATTGTTCAAATAAGCATAACACCAGCTTCATATTTCTCGCTTTTACCAAGTCATGCTCCATAAAGATGATTGTATCATCAGCGTACTGCAGAGTGGACACACCCCCATCAACAAGATGAGGCACCAAGCCACCCACCTGACCGGCCTCCTTTGCCCTCCCTATGAGAATTTCCAACATGTCCACCACAATGTTGAACAAAATAGGAGACATTGGATCACCTTGCCTCAGGCCTTTCTGTGTCTGGAAATAATGACCTATATCGTCATTCACTTTAATTCCAACACTCCCTTTTTGCGTGAAGGATTCTACCTGGCATTGCCAAGCTTCATCAAAACCCTTCATACGTAAGGCCTGTTGAAGGAAGGGCCATTTGACTTTGTCGTACGCCTTCTCGAAATCCATTTTGAAAACAACCCCATCTAGTTTTTTCATGTGGATCTCATGGAGCGTTTCATGAAGGACCACAACCCCTTCAAGGATGTTCCTGTCCGGCATGAAAGCAGTTTGGGTAGGTTGCCCCACAGCATGCGCGATCTGTGTGAGCCTATTAGTCCCGACCTTGGTAAATATTTTGAAGCTAACATTAAGAAGACAAATGGGCCTGAATTGCTCAATTCTCACAGCCTCTGTTTTCTTAGGGAGAAGGGTTATCGTACCAAAATTCAGCTAAAAAAGTTGAAGCTGCCCAGAGAAGAGATCATTAAACAGAGGCAACAGACCCCCTTAATAATATGCCAACACTTTTTATAAAACTCCGCTGGAAAACCATCGGGGCCCGGCGCCTTGTTATTTTTCATTTGCGAAATGGCCTCAAACACCTCTTTCTCAGAAGAAGGAGCCGCTAGAATATCATTCTCCACCGCTGTGAGTTGAGGAACATCCTCAACCCTGGATTCATCCAAAGACACACAGTTATCCTCTGGAGGACCAAACATCTGCTTGTATTACTCAGTAATATACAGCTTTAGGTTTTCCTGCCCTACAATTGTTCCTTCATCTTGCTCAAGCTGAAAGATTCTCTTCTTTCTATGTTTACCATTAGCGATCATGTGAAAGAATTGAGTGTTCGCATCCCCCTGGACTACCCGCCGGACCTTGGCCCGCAACGCCCACTTCAATTCCTCTTCTCGAAGAAGTTCTTTCAGCCTCATCTCCGCGTCAAGCTTGGCATGAAGCTCCGCGGCCGGCAGCATCGTGGTTTCAGCTTTCACATCTAGGGACTGAATAAGGGAAAGGAGCCTTTCCTTTTCGACCTTATAAATCCCGCTAAGATGCTTAGCCCACCCACGCAGGAAGCTTCTCAAATGCCTAATCTTATTCTGCCAGCGCTGAAGCGCAGTCTTCCCTCCTGAATCCTTAGCCCACTCTCTGGCTACGATATCAAAGAAACCTTCTCGTTCAAACCAAGCCAGCTCAAAGGAGAAGGAATTTTTGTTACCCAGGTGGGTGGCCTCACCGGAGTCCACAAATAACGGTGTGTGATCAGAAATACCACGGGAGAAAGCCTGAACTGTTACTAACGGAAACTTCTGTTCCCACTCGACGCTCGCCAACACTCGATCCAACTTCTCATACGTCGGATTTGGCAGCGCGTTAGCCTAGGTGAATTTCCTAACTGAGAGCTCAATCTCTCTCAGGTCAAGACTTTCAATGATAGTATTAAACATGAACGACCATCTGCCGTCAAAGTTATCATTGTTCCTATCCTCACGCCGTCTAATGATATTGAAATCACCCCCACCAGGATAGGAAGCTGCTCGGAGCCGCAAATCCTAACGAGATCAGCCAAGAACTCGGGCTTGAGTTTGGGTTGTGCGGCACCATATACCGCAACCAGAGCCCAATTAAATCCATCATCCTTCGAACGTACCCTAAACTTGACTGCAAAGTCACCCATTACCACACTTCGAACCTCGAGCGCTTTGCATCAAACGCCGAGTAAGATCCCACCCGATCTCCCTATCGGTGGCAGGCAATGCCAATCAAAATCAATCCCTCCCGACAAAGTACTAAGGAACTGAGGCGCAAAATTATCTCTACCGGTCTCCGATAGATCGATATAATCTAATCGATGCTCGACAGCCGCCTCAGCAAGAAATCTTCTTTTAGCCAAGTCCTTTAGACCTATGCTATTCCAAAAGATTCCTTTCATAGTTCATCATGGGATTTTTTAGCCGTACGAATCC